TATCCGCAGTCGACTTCGGCTTCTCTTGCTTCACCGTCGCTATTGTGTATTACTTTTTGGGATTCTTCCTATCTTCCAGTTGCTGCGCTTTTCGTAGGTGTCCACAATTAGCACAATCTCTCCTTCGATCGGTTGCCTATTACTTCCTCTTTGATTGGTCATGTTGCATCGATGCTGTTCGCGTAGTGCTGACAAATAGGAATCCTTCCATATTTTCCAGTATCGTTCTGTCAACTCGCATGAACTTCTCAAAGCTTCTTGTGTTTGTAGTTTGGTTCCTAAGGACCAGGTGCGCGCAAAAATTACGCGAAGACGTCGATTTCGAGTTGCCTAAGAGACAAGGTGCACTTTTTTTTTTTTTTTTTTTTTCTTTGAAAACCAAAAATGCAGTGACAGTGCACAGTCCCATTCTGAAAATCCCCGACATCCATTGCAATTTTTAGAAATTCCTTGGTTTGTGTCTACACGGTCCTCAAAACATCGAGAACCACGACTGGTGGCACGCAATGTGCGAGTAGACTCGTCCATGCTGCATTTAGAGCGGTTTCTCCAATCGAAACTGCTGGACATCATGTGTTTTATGCAAGCCTATACTTCCAAACGGATCCCGACCAGGCCTATCCCTATCCGATCTCAATCTAAATTCTAATCACTACCGTCTAAGCCGACATAGTCAAAAATCGGTTCTGGCATTCAATGCTGCACTAGTACTGGAACCGACGCTGTTCCTCTAAATGCCAGTTCCTACTTGAATGACAGACCGACAACGGTTTTCAAAGTGAAAATATAAACTTAGGTAGCAATGGGGCTGCTGATGAACACTCCAAAAAGTCCGCTGATTCCCATCGGTCTCGTGGCATTCTCAGTGACACCCGCTTTTAACTTACCTGCAGATCTATCCCGCGCACAATCTAGATTGTTCGTGGTCGCCACAGAAACACGCCCTTCTCACCATCCAGAATGCATGCATTCAGCTCCTTGGTCCCCTGTACCACTTGAGCATGCTATTGAAGGCGCTACAGGTTCTACACCGAAAACGATGGATAAATTGTCGCGTTCCAAAAACCTCTACGTCGAAGTCAATATTTAGGACGGTGTCAGTAATTGCAGTCACCGCTGCAGCTTACCACAGATTTTGTGGTTTGAGCAAGGTAAGCTTAAACAGTTCTACACCACTAAGCAAGGTTTTACGCAAAACGCAGGATCAGAAGAAACAGCATGCCTGTGAATATCAGTTCCCACATTGTTTGCTCATGCTTGTTCCGTAATTTTTGGCGGCACCCTGTAACATCCGCAAATAAGACTTCGGAAATAGACTTGCATATTCTCTTGCTTCGGCCGTCGCTATTGTGTATTACTTTGAGATTTCTTCCTATCTTCAGTTGCTGCGCTTTGGTAGGTGCACAATCAGCACAATCTCTTCCTTCGATCGTGTGCCTATTACTTCTCTTTGATTGGTCATTTTCATCGATGCTGTTCGCGTAGTGCTGACAAGTAGGAATCCTTCCATATTTTCCAATATCGTCTGTCAACTCGCATGAACTTCTCAAAGCTTCTGTGTTTGTATCTGGTCTTAATCCGTGCCATTTCCAAAACTGAAGTAGGTTGGTCTCGCAGTCGTCGTTGAGTTCGTTCAAAGGCCAGTGTGATATCCATTTCGTTTTGAATGAAATCAATAGGTCGGAGAGAATGGAAGGAGTCTTCGACATCAGTTTCTTGATAAGTCAAAGGTCTTGTATTTGAACATGCTTCTATTTCATGCAGGAGCGTCGTAAGCTAGTCGATATTGAGTATCCTTTTCCCAATTGCTTTGAATAATGAACCTTTGATTGACTTTATGAGACGCTCATAGAAGCCACCTTTCCATTGTGAAAACGGTGTTGTGTGATGCCATTCAATGCAGTTACTACTCATCGACCTGTTTATGGATGGTTCTTCGTCGTTTTCTACTAGAGATTTGTTCAGGATCTGGCTGCCCAGTAGGAACGTAGGAGCATTGTCGCAGATGACCGTCTGCGGTTTCCCCCGTCTTGCAACGAAGCGGCGAAAGGCGTTGAGGAATTTTTCCGTCGTTCCATCGAGTACCAGTTCTAAGTGAATCATTCGTGTGACAGTACATGTAAAAATAATCCGTAAACATTGATCTTTTCTTTGTCCTCTCGAAAAACTGTCAGTGGACCAAAGTAGTCTAAGCCTGTGTGCTGAAATACTCTTGACCTTGTTACGCGGGATCGAGGAAGGTCCATCATTTGCGGGTATTTGAAAGGAAGGTTATTAATTTTTTGGCACGGAATGCAACTTCGTACGGTCTTTTTGACTTGTTCTCGCAGTCGTGGGATCCAGTACATTTGACGGACGTTGGATATGGTATGGGCCGTTCCTACGTGGTGGGGCCATGGGCTTCATTAATGATGAGGCGGGAGAGGTGGGTATTGGGGACAATAAGGATAGGATTTTTGGCGGTAGGGTTAAGGTCTGATCTGTTGAGGCGGCCGTACGCTCTCGAGATTATTGTGTGATCCTCTTTAAGATTTAGATTTTTTGTGAGTTCTTTTCTGTACTGTGCGTTGATGTGCGTCAGCTGATGATTTCGAATGAGGATGTGTTGGGCGTCGAGAATGTCTCTTGCCGTCAGATGGTCTTCTTGAGGTTGATGTTGGAGCCATGGCAAGTTTTCGAATAGTTTTTGTCGAATTTCTGGGTGAAGACGGCGCGATAATTTCTTTAGGAACCTCAACGCATAAGCGAGAATCCTTTTTGCTTTTGCGAAGTTGCTGAATGCTTCAAGATTCATGACGTCTGTGATCTCCACTTGTGACGATTGTGCAAGGTGAAAACAGGTTTTAGTTGGAGGTTCTTCGCCTTCTCATTTTTGCATGGGACGAAAATTTTTTCCGATCTCTCTATCATGAATTTGTTGAAGGTTGTATGCATGCCATCAGACATGATTTTTGAAGTTTTCTTTTGTAAGTCCTCTGGTGCCGCAATCTGCTGGGTTTTTGCTGGTGTCAATGTATCCAACTTCACTGATAGCTTCGATGACTCCAGGTCCTTGGACGATTTCGTGGATCTCTTTAATTCGATTAGTTACGAATACTCCATTGTTTCGATTTTTCGGTGTTGAAATCCAATGCAAGGCAATCTCGGAGTCTGTGAGTATCAGAATATCTTCTATGTGTATCGAAGAGTTCATGCTTTGGAAGACGTTGGATGTTAGTCTGATTCCAATAGCGAGTGCACTGAGTTCGAGTTTTGGTATCGTCGCTTGATACTTCATATGTGGTATTTTTGATTTGGCCATTAGAAGATTGGAGTTTGCTTCGTCGACAAGGTAGATGCATGCCGTCATTGCTATTGAACTTGCGTCAGTATACGTGATGAGGGTATATACAGATTTGGGATTTGCAATCATTCTGGGAAGTTGATGTTGGAATCCATCTATGTCGTCCATGAGTTGCAACCATTTTTCTGCTTCGTTTGGATTTAAGGTTCGTCCCATTCATAGTGATGTTTCCAAAGTTGTTGTTGGAAATGTTTCGCCTTCACTAACAATGGTATGAACCATCCGAGGGGATCGTATATCGAAGCAATCTGCTGTGCTACGACGCGTTTGCTGACGAACTCTTTCTTGTCGATGTTGATTTGTAACTCGAACTGATCTGTTATCGAATTCCATGGTACTCCAAGCACTTTGGGAGTTTGATTGGCCGACTGATCACAAACTTTAATGGAGTCCATGATGTCTGCATCATTGGCGATGAATTCACGTAAGTTCATTTGTATATCTGAGAAGATTGTTTTTAAATCGGCGTATTTCTGAATAGCTTCCTCCTTCGAGTCTGCGCAAACAAGCAAATTGTCGACATAAAGGTTTTTTGCAATTTCATCTGTCAGGTTTTTCTTTTTCACGTGGTGTTTCAGATGGTAGAGTATTGTTGCACTGAGGAGGAAGGGGGAGGCATTGATTCCAAGTGTTACGCGGATGAATCGGTAAACGGCAAGTTTCTCCTGGGTGAGCTTCTCTTTGATGTTTTTAACCCAAAGGCATCGGGTAAAATCTCTGTCTGCCTCTTGCAGGCGTACTTGGAGGAATGTCTTCTCAACATCAGATAGTAAGACATAATTTCCTGTGCGAAGCGCAACAATAATGCCAGAGAGTTTCGGTAACATTGTTGGTCCTTGATGTATATTGTCATTGAGAGATGGGCAATTCTTATAGTGCGCTGATGCGTCAAATACGACACGAAATTTTGTAGTTGTTTTCTGTGGGGTTATTACAAGTTGGTGAGGGAGATAATGTCTTTTGGTTGATGATGAATCTTTGGATGAAAAAAACAAAAACAAACATACTACTTCTTCAAGAATTCCTGCCTGAACTTGTTCTTTGAAAACTTTGTCATACTGCAGTATATTTCTGGGTATCGTTGTATTTTGTAAGGCATTCTTCAGTCGTTTCCATGATAGTGCCTGTTGTCTGGTAATTCAGTGTTGGCTTTTGAAAGAAGTTTCACATAGTATCCATCACTTCGTTTTTGAGTATGCGTTGAACTCCTTCAGAACTTGTGTGTTTTTATTTTGCCCTTTCTTCTTTTCGAATCTGGAATTTTCTCATCTTTTTCGCAATTTTCGGAGTTCCAATACTGTTCCAATATCCACATGTTCGCTTGTATTGGAAGTTTGTACAAGCACATGGTTTTGTTCTGCAGATGTGGTTTTCTGCGACAATTTTTGTCCTGAGATCATGTATCCGAATGACTGTAGTATGAGGAGTAGTCCTGCGATGAAAGAGTGAAGTGTGGTGTTTCGAATTTGACGAAATTCCACAGTTGATCGCATCCTATCGGGATCCGTGGTTGTATGTTGCCCTTCTTTATTGGTGAGCATACATGAATGTGTTTTCTTCTTATGAAATTGATGTCTCTCTTTTCGAGGTCACAGCGTGTAACATGGAAGTAATTGTGTCGTGTATGAATAGTTTGAGTGTGTGTTGTACATCTTCTTCATCCCATATGTCGATGGATGTGATTGTGCACGTGATTTCTCTTTGATTTGTCGTTCCAAATGTGCTGAGCCTCATTGTTGAAGTGCCTTGTCTTGGAAGTTGGAGTTCGTGTGCGTGTAAGTTTCGAATCTATGAAGGAACGGTCAGCTCCAGTATCGAGTAATACCTGCACACGGCGTAGCTGTTTTGTTTGCGGATTCATCGTTTTAACCGATCCAGCGAGAAGATATGTGTCTTCGGTCTTCAAGGTCTTTGGATTTTCCGCGACAGCTAATATAGTAGGGTCTTTTGAGTCAAGATCGGTCTCGGAACAAGGCCTTGTGGTGCTTGATGTAAAGTTCTGTGTTGATTTTTTGACTCTTTCATTCTTATTTTGTTCGACTTGTGTCGCAGAGGAAGTGGTTCCTTTGTTTTTCAAGCATATTGAAGTATGGTGTCGTTTTCCGCAATGTGTGCATCCTATTTCTTTGCATTCAGCAAATGAATGGTTCCTTGATCCACATCCAAGGCACCTATTCGTTTGTTTGAGGTATTCAATCCTTTCTTTTGGATGTTTAAGTTTTGTACATGAGACCGACCAATGTTCTTGTGAATTACAATAGAAGCAAAATGGTGATCTTTTCTTAGGATGGTTGGTAGATGGTGAATTACGTCCTAGTTTTCTTGGGGTACTCTGGTGTTCGAAGGTTCCTGACATGTGACGTTCGATTTCCTCTTCTTGTTTCAGAACTTTGTCTATGGTTTCCATTTGTGTCCTCATGCTCCAAGTTTGATCATTCAAGAGTGCAACTTTTTTCTCGAGAACTCGTTCTTTTATGTCATCTCTGAACTTAGCTAAGATTTTCGACATTAGCCCTGGACTGCTAAGGTCCGCTCCTTTGCTTTCTAATTGCTTCGGGAGGGAGTAGAGCCGGTCGAATAGCTTGCATTGCTCTTTTAAGTCTGTACTCCTAGCTGTGCAGACCTCCATTTGTTCGTGTAGGTTGGTGATAATCACAAATGCATTTCCATATTTTTCTTGCAAATGCTTCACCATCAAAGGATAGTTAGTTGGTGTCACTTGGTACCTTTCAGCAGATTCACGAGCTTCTCCCTTTAAAGCCTTGAGAAGGTAATTGAACTTCTGCAAATTCGACAAAGGGAGAGAATGTATTGTGTCATTGAACAACTCCCAGAAGTTGTCCCTTTCCCAACAATTACCACTGAATTCCGGAATGGGAATTTTTGGAAGTTATACTCGAGCCGTGCTGGATTGCCACACTGTTTCGGATCTGAGCGCTTGCTTTTGTACTTCGAGACGGGCTTGCAAGTCTTCCGATTCCGATAGTAAGATCTGTCCTTTCTCTAACTGGTCGGAAATGCGCTGCTCCTCTTCGTTCTCCATTGAGTGTTGAAGTTTATCAACTGTTTCTGCGAATGCGAAGAAGGCTTTTTCGAAGGATGTTTGGGTTGCACGGATATGAACTAGTGCATTGTTGATTTGGTTTGTTCGGTTTTCGGTATTGTATTCATCATTTATGGCTGTACTGTTTGCTAAGCGGTTGTAGCTTTCCAAAAGATCGCTCAAAGCTTTTGCTTGGCGTGTTGCTATGCCTTTGCGAGTTTTTAGTGAAGCTGTCATCTTTGTTTCCTGATTTCTATGATTCTTCAGAAGTTACCGAACAGATCTGACTATATGATTAACTTTCAAGTGAGCTTGCGATCCTAGAGTCGGTTTTCTGTGACTTCTCGGAACTGCAGCCGAAAGTACGCTATCAAGTTTTGAATAGCTTCAAACGATAGTCAGCGCGATTCCTCTTTCCGAATTGTATAGTGAAATGAGTAACCCACGGTGTCGTTGTGCTTCTGATCTGGCCGATGCACCAAAGAATTTGTGGTGGAGAGCCGGATATATAAGTATATGTAGTTTCCTGCCACGCTTCTTATGTATAACTGCTTCCTACACTGCTTCTGTCGTACACCGAGCTGCTTCACCGTTTATAGCTGGACGACGTGTAGAAGATAGTCGAACGGTAGAAAGTAGACTGAGGAAGAGAGTAGGAATAAAAATGAACCACACCCGTTCGGGTGTGCTTATATACAGTTATTGTTAACATCGTCCACTCAATAACAATTTCTATCAAAGCAACACCATTTCTACGGACACTTATGAAAACGGTGGTTTTGTTTCGCACACAAACGGCAAGACTAGCAAAGGAAGAACCTTTTGAGAAGTTCAATACTTTTACGCAAAGGATAGTCGCCGATAATGCGGCAACTTTTGCACACGATGACCGTGCTACGCAGAAATGTTATGACTGTAACTGTGGCGGTGACGGTCACTATATCGGTGTGTGCCCTAATAAACCAGTACCCAGTATGAGCCCTCAGGTGCAAAAGCTCAATGTGCAGTTAGGGAGGGCAAGAACAGGCTTTCCTCTAGGGAGGCATTGACCACCTTCGTAGAGGAATGGTGTGAGATGGTTCGCATCTAAAAGTCGACGGTAGATCAGCACACACTATAAGCGAGCTCCGTTCCGACCAAGCTGCACTCACGCGAGAAATCGCTTTAGAAGCCAGACTGCATCCCGCTATTGCTGATCCGAGATACTTGAGCGTCGTTGTACTGGAAGCTCAGTAACACTGATCTTGATAGAGGCTGGCTCGCTTGAATCAGTCAAGTACTCATTCTTGTTAACGTTTCCTGAGCCACAACATGGCAAGAAAATCAGACCAGGTTTGCACTTGTTGCTCGTGCGTGCTTTTATCTTCGCTGGCTAGCATTACGTCACCAGCATAAGAAGCGTCCATGGAACCGGATTCTGATGATTTTTTGAAATGGCATCCATGACGGCAACGAATAGGAGTGCGGATACCGCAGAGCCTTGGTGTACCCCGACGGAAAAGAGAAAATCGAAGGGCCTGCTGCCGTTTGCACCACGCTTTTTGGACTCGAGTAGAGGATGCGCACCAATTCAATAAGCTCTTCAAGAGCGCCATGCTGTCGTAAGACATACCATATAGACTCACGCGAAACGCAATCGAAAGCCTCTTCCAAGTACATTAAGGCCAGATGCACCACTCTTTTTTCACGCGATGTTTCTCTAGCAGGAGGCGAGTGGCGTGTATGGCATCGATAGTACTGCAGCCAGCCAAGAAACCACCCTTTAAGGGTTAGATCGACGATGTTGCAGATCGACTGTCTACAATTCGCCCAAAGATTTTCATGCTGTGCAAGAGCAGGCCAATTGAAGTAGATCGTAGTCTCCAGCACTACCTTTCTTCTTCCAGATGGGAATCGTCTTGCATTGTTGCCTGCTCTCAGGCACCTTCTTCTCTGCACTGACCTGATTGGAGAACTTCGTCAACCATTCTGCACGACTCTAGCACTTCGACTTCCACAAGTCGGCCGCTGGGTCGTCGGGAGGAGCTTTGTCTGACTTCATTTTCTTCGAAACCATTATGGTCTCACCCAAGGTTATCATCTAAACGGGACCGTGTTTTGGTGGAGCACAAGGGATGGCAAATTCTACTGTCGAGATGTTTTCGAAGTAAGCATGACATCGCTTCAATGTTTCCTTGCAGTCCGTCAAAAGGCGGCCATTCTCGCCATTTGCGCCAAAGAACTTTTCATCGGGCCTTTGCGGTTCAGTAAACGTATCGCTTCCCACCGCGCGACTCGAGTTTTTGGTTGACATTAGCAAAATAAGTTGCCTTCGCGGAACGACGGCCTTCTTTGCCTCTTTCCCCGTTGTCTGGTAGCTCCGCTAGTTATCAGCTGTCTTTTCGAAAAGAAATACGTAGTTTTCTTTTTGAGCACTTTTTCTCTAACCTAATCCATCCACAGCCATGTTTGTTTTTCGATTCTCTGCCGTCCAGGCTTCGTCATGCCGAGCGAATCGAGCAACCCGAGTTATTTCTTTGGCAGCACCTTTCCAGGTTTCGTCGACACTCGTTACCGCTGGTAATCGAATGCGGGAAACGACGGCTGCTTCTTTTTACTTCAGTCGCCACCATTGAATTCTCGCTGGCCCACACCTTTCGGTTAGTTTCGGTTTCGGCGGGGCGACCTTTCATGAGGCATTGTTTTCGCGTCTTTTACGAGCCTTTGATCGCGGTGCCTGACAAGGACGTGTCAATGCGTTCTGCTTCTACTGCTATAGAAGGTTATAAGATGAGATTCACGTTTTCGAAATTTTATGCCCACAATGGCGAGGTTATTTGAGTCAGTATGTTCAAGGATTCGCTCGTTATCAGTATCACGTGACCCATATCCAAAACCACCATGACAGCTATAACCGTCGTTCGTAGCGCCCGCGTGCCTATTGAGGTCACCCGCGACAATTATTGCTTCTTGTGAATTTACCTCAGCTGTCTTCTCATCGCAGGTTCCAGAACTTGTCCTTGGTTTGCTCGGAGCATCCAGTCTGCAGAGCGTACGCAGGGAAGAGGTGGTATTTTGTCGTTCGGTGACGACAATGATCATCATATTCTTCTTCCTCATCATCGAATCGTTCCACTGTTGTTATCGAATCTAGGAAACGTTATGAGACAATCATCTCGATCCCTTGGTGGTTTTGGACCTCCACATAGAACGACTCTAAGGCCGCGGCCAATGTCCCTCAACTTGTAGCAGAACCACCTCGTTTCCTGCATGGCATAGAACCGGCGCTCTAGAGCTTCTGCTGACTCGTACGAGCGGCCCGTTAGCGTGCCAACATTTGAAGTCGCAACGCGAGTCTTCCATACGTTGCGGGATCTTTAGACCTGCCTAGTTGCCCTGTGATGGCGTCCTTGCACCGGAGACTTTCGCATACTTTTCACACGCGTCGGCATCCGCGGACGCCGTAACATGACCTCAGGATTCATATAGCGACATAACATTTGTGATGTAGCGTTGGTCTTCATAGGCCGGCCTGTCACGAGGGCCTGTCGCCTGCACACGAATGTCCGCGATCAGCTCAGCAGACAAAGTGAGCAGTTCCCAGTTGCACTCCTTGGAAGAATGGCACCACCACCGCTTGTTATTATCGAAAATTTATCTTGAGATACGCTGAATAGCTAAGCCACTGTACGAGTTAACTAGTCATAAGAAGAGGTTCATCTGGCGAGCAAAGTTTTCGAGAAATTTAAGGGAGCTTTATCAAACGCTTCTGTCCTGGGACAACCAAATATAGAAAACACGCTATAGTATTAGGTACCGGATATCTTAGTGTTGTTTTTCACCACGAGTTTCGGACCACCAATAATTTCATTTAGGAGGGGAGTGAAACAACATATTCATCGAATGACTTATTAGCACTTTCCCATTCACACGTATGAGTGGAAACCTCGTACGATTGAAGCTAAAAAATTTTTAAGTCGAAAAAGAGAGGTGGGTCGGTTTCGACATCATCTGACAAATCATGCCTCTCTCTTTCTAACAAGTTAGGTCTAGACAAAAGAAGTATACAGTTAGTTAGAGTAGGGTCTGCATAGTGTGGTCGGAAAGTTATTACTTACCAGCTCAACTGAACAATTTTCACGGAGTCTTTTTTGCTGCACAGGGTCAAAAACGCACCTTTTTGAGCACACGTCTTGTGTAGTCAACTTTTAGAGCGTTTATGCATCATCGTCAGACTGCTAAGATTTCCTACCATTTTAGAACAAGACCGGTGCAGCCCTGTCTCGACTGATTCAGCTAGGGCTTTTTGACGACGATTGCGGGCATCACTTCGAACACTTTACTGTCTTTTGAGAAAACTGTGAAAAACCTATGAGGATTTTAAATGGTATTCCCTCCAACAAATGCAATGTTGGTTTGGAGGGCGGCATTGTAGCTCTCAGCAAGAATTTCGAAGCATTTGGTACACACATGCGAATTTGGTCACTGGATCCAGGGATTTTCAGAAAAAAAATATAAAATTTGGGGGAAGGTAAATTGTGCACCAACAATAGAAAACAACAAGCAACATATTCCGCAGTATTAATGAGCAAAAAGGACTTTCTGAGATGATTCTCCATAGTAATCGGCCCCAAAACTCCCTGAACTCAGAAAAGCGACCTAATATATACGGA